TTCTATTCTCCAATTTTGGTGATCCTGTGTGAATTGTAGCCTCCGTTTCCTGTTCTTAGCTGACAGGTGTGGTACCCGGTGTGATCTTCTGCTGCTGTAGCCCATCTGCTTCAAGGTTGGATGTGTTGTGCATTCAGAGATGGTATTCTGCATACCTTGGTTGTAACGAATGGTTGTCTAAATTACTGTTGCCTTTCTATCATCTGGAACCAGTCTGCCCATTCTCCTCTGACATCAACAAGGCATTTTCCTCCACACAACTGCCACTCACTGGATATTTTCTCTTTTTCGGACCATTCTCTGTAAACCCTAGAGATGGTTGTGCGTGAAAATCCCAGTAGATCACCAGTTTTTGAACCACTCAGACCAGCCCGTCTGGCACCAACAACCATGAAATGTTTAAAGCCACTTAAATTCCTTTTTCTTCCCCATTCCGATGCTCGGTTTCAACTTCAGCAAGTCATCTTCACCACGTCTAGATTCCTAAATGCATTGAGTTGCTGCTGTGTGATTGGCTAATTTTCTATTTTGTGTTACCAAGCGCTTGAACAGGTGGATCTAATAAAGTGGCCGGTGAGTATATATTGCCGGGATGCCAGAAAGGTAATTTATTTCCCTCTCAATCTGTATCAAAGCCGCACATCCTATGTATCAGTTTCCTGTATCTTCAGGCGTAACAGCTGCAAGAAGACAGATTGCAACACCAGCGCTAAACACACCATTAGATATTTTTATTCCGGTGAGATACAAAATAGTTTTGTTTCGGCAGAAGGAAGAGCCCTGGAGATGGCAGCACTGAAATTATATGACCCCGGTGACACCAGTGACTTCATTAATCCCGCTCTTCACGGTATGTATGGCTTTATTCCGGGAGAAAATATTTGAATCTGATATTACAAACAAAACATCCGCAGCTCGTGTCAGACGACATGGCTTTGATGTTGGCTTGTGCGCTCGCTGCCCACTGTGACTCTGCAGCAGCTGGAATATTTATGGAAGCAATAGGATCGGCTCCACCGGCAGAGGCGGATTTTATTCGGCTTAAAAGGTAAGCTCACTATTTTACAAAAAAATTAAAAAAAAAACATTGACAGATATTCCGGCCACCTCTCCGGATCCCGCTGCACATATCAGCCGTGAAGTCATGTGCTGCCGGTGTAGCCGTCCATGCACCATGCCCCGCTATACACAGCCCCAGAGTGACTATCCACCATAATGCTTGCATTGGCCAACCAGAAGGGCTTCTTTCCTCCAGGATACCTTACTGCAAGAAGAAGCGGCCAGATGCATTTCTCATTGGTCAGTACGGTGTAAAGATGCGCTGACCAGAGGAGCATTATGATGGATACTCAGTCCTGGACCATGCGTTATAAGTGTATCTAAATCCAGTGAAGGAACCTTTTAAGGCGTCAGCATACCAAGACATTTTGGACAATTTCATGCTCCCTACTTTGTGGGAAGAGTTTGGGGATGGCCCCTTCCTGTTCCAACATGGCTGCGCACCAGTGCACAAAGCAAGGTCCATAAAGACATGGAGGAGCCAGTTTGGGGTGGAGAAACCTGACTGGCCTACACAGAGTCCTGACCTCAACCCCATAGAACACCTTTGGGATGAATTAGAGCAGAGACTGCGAGCCAGGCCTCCTCCCCCGACATCAGTGCCTGACCTGACAAATGTGCTTCTGGAAGAATGGTCCAACCTTCCCATAGACACCCTCCTAAACCTTGTGGACAGCCTTCCCAGAAGAGTTGAAGGTGTTATAGCTGCAAAGGGCGGAGCCAACTCAATCTTGAACCCTACCGACTAAGACTGGGGGCCATTAAAGTTCATGTGCATGGAAAGGCAGGTGGCCCAATACTGGAGAAAATATTTGAATCTGATATTACAAACAAAACATCCGTAGCTCGTGTCAGACGACATGGCTTTGATGTTGGCTTGTGCGCTCGTTGCCCACTGTGACTCTGCAGCAGCTGGAATATTTATGGAAGCAATTGGTTTGGCTCCACCGGAAGAGGTGGATTTTATTCGGCTTAAACGGTAAGCTCACTATTTTACAAAAAATAAAAAAAAAACATTGACAGATATTCCGGCCACCTCTCCGGATCCCGCTGCACATATCAGCCGTGAACCCATGTGCTGCCGGTGTAGCCGTCCATGCACCATGCCCCGCTATACACAGCCCCGGAGTGACTATCCACCATAATGCTTGCATTGGCCAACCAGAAGGGCTTCTTTCCTCCAGGATACCTTACTGCAAGAAGAAGCGGCCAGATGCATTTCTCATTGGTCAGTACGGTGTAAAGATGCGCTGACTAGTGGAGCATTATGATGGATACTCAGTCCTGGACCATGCGTTAAAAGTGTATCTAAATCCAGTGAAGGAACCTCTTAAGGCATCAGCATACCAAGACATTTTGGACAATTTCATGCTCCCAACTTTGTGGGAAGAGTTTGGGGATGGCCCCTTCCTGTTCCAACATGACTGCGCACCAGTGCACAAAGCAAGGTCCATAAAGACATGGAGGAGCCAGTATGGGGTGGAGGAACTTGACTGGCCTGCACAGAGCCCTGACCTCAACCCCATAGAACACCTTTGGGATGAATTAGAGTGGAGACTGCGAGCCAGGCCTCCCCCCCCGACATCAGTGCCTGACCTGACATATGTGCTTCTGGAAGAATGGTCCAACCTTCCCATAGACACCCTCCTAAAACTTGGACGGCCTTCCCAGAAGAGCTGAAGCTGTTATAGATGCAAAGGGCGGGGCCAAACTCAATATTGAACCCTACGGACTAAGAATAGGAGGCCATTAAAGTCCATGTGCGTGGAAAGGCAGGCGGCCCAATACTTTTGGCAATATAATGTATGTTTGCAAATGTCTGCAACAAAACCCTCCTGTTTTTAGCGTGAACTGTTAGACATGATCAGATGGCTATTTTTGCAGCCTGGCTGGTAAGTTTGTTTGTTTGAGATGGTCCACAGTTTGATGATTTCTATAATCCTTTATAAAGGTGCATATTACAGCGTTTACTGAACATTTGCAGAAGGCTGTCCTCCATCATCTCTTCTATATTGAAGATTATGGAATATCATTGGGGGCATTTGTCTTGGTGTCACTTATTTCGCCATTGGGCGCACACTTAATGACGGATGGTGATTCACCCTGACATTTAATTGTTCTGCCCTGATGAGACGAGCCATTTACAAAACGCTTAGTTGTTTCTTTATGAAATGAAAATAGGATTTACAACTCGCAGAACTTTTATCTTCGCTCTCCAAAGAAATGGAGGCTAATGATTTTCTGCTCCGTCTGTGATTTCCGCCCGCTCGGCCAGTCTGTCCCCGTTTTCCTTACTCGGTTAATCATTTTTTTTTTTTTTTTTGGTTTGTGGCTCTCCCAGATAGATCAAGTTTTTGTTGTATGGTGTGCAGAGATTGTTTGAAATGTCTTAATCTGTGATCTGCCTCCCATAGTAGCCCACAGTGACCCCAAGCCCCCGAAGAGCCCTCAACCTACACAGCACCCCTAACCTCTTACAGTGCTGTCCAGCCTCCCTCAGTGTCCCCCCCCCCCCAGCCTGCTACAGAGCCCCCAGCCTCACCTGGTGCACTCTATGTAAGAAAAGCTGCAGCTGTATCCCTTTAGAGGTATTTAACTCTTGAAGAGTATCTCACCGACACAGAAATTCCTATTGCAGGAGGGTGCATAGCATAGTCTGGAAAAATCAATAAGCCAATCAAAGGATCTCTGTGGGAGGTGGGGCAACATTGGTAGAGGTTGGTGGGTACTGTGAAAGCTGAGGGCTCTTAGGGGCCTGGGGGCACTGTAGGACACTATGGGAGGTTGGTGGGCATTTGTGGAAGCTGAGGAGTCTTAGATTTATGTAATAGTATTAAAACTATTGGCGCCGGCGCCTCCCGGCCATTTAAAAGTTTCAGAATCCGGGAGGCGGGGCGGGGTTTTAGGGTCATGTGATCGAAAAAGGTCAGGATCAAAAGGGGAGATCAGGACCTTTCCGGGAGTAGCGGACATATGTGCTGGGTTCGGGGAGAGCGGATATAGTGAATGCAGGGTCCGGGAGAGTGGATATAGTGAATGCAGGGGTCCGGGGAGACCAGGATATAGTGAATGCGGGGTCCGGGGAGAGCGGATATAGTGAATGCAGGGTCGGGGAGAGCGGATATAGTGAATGCAGGGTCCGGGGAGAGCGGATATAGTGAATGTGGGTCCGGGGAGGCAGATATAGTGAATGCAGGGTCCGGGGAGAGTGGATATAGAAAAAAGCAGGGTCCAGGGAGAGCGGATATAGTGAATGCAGGATCCAGGGAGAGTGGATATAGTAAATGCAGGGTCCGGGGAGAGCAGATACAGTGAATGCAGGATCATGGGGAGACTGGATATAGTGAATGCAGGGTCCGAGGAGAGCAGATCTAGTGAATGCGGGGTCCGGGGAGAGCGGATATAGTGAATGCAGGGTCCGGGGAGAGCGGATATAGTGAATGCAGGGTGATAGTGAGATGCAGGGTCCGGGGAGACCAGATATAGTGAATGAGGGTCCGGACCAGATATAGTGAATGCGGGGTCCGGGGAGACCAGATATAGTGAATGCGGGGTCCGGGGAGAGCAGATATAGTGAATGCAGGGTCCGGGGAGAGCGGATATAGTGAATGCGGGGTCCGGGAGAGATGGATATAGTGAATGCAGGGTCCGGGGAGAGGGGGAGACCAGCTAATAGTGAATGCAGGGGTCCGGGGTTGGAGAGCGAGAATATAGTGAATGCAGGGTCCGGGGAGACCAGATATAGTGAATGCAGAGAGTCCGGGAAGAGCGGATATAGTGAAATGCGGGTCTGAGGAGAGCGGATATAGTGAATGCAGGGTCCGGGGAGAGAGCGGATATAGTGAATGCGGGGTCCGGGGAGAGCGGATATAGTGAATGCAGGGTCTGGGGAGACCAGATATAGTGAATGCAGGGTCCGGGGAGAGCAGGATATAGTGAATGTCCGGGGAGAGCGGATTATAGTGAAGGGGTCCAGGGAGAGCGGATATAGTGAATGCGGGGTCCGGGGGAGAGCGGATATAGTGAATGCAGGGTCTGGGGAGAGCAGATATAGTGAATGCGGGGTCCGGGGAGAGCGGATATAGTGAATGCAGGGTCCGGGGAGAGCGGATATAGTGAATGCAGGGTCCGGGGAGAGCGGATATAGTGAATGCAGGGTCCGGAGCGGATATAGTGAATGCAGGGTCTGGGGAGAGCGGATATAGTGAATGCAGGGTCCGGGGAGAGCGGATATAGTGAATGCGGGGTCGGGGAGAGCGGATA